AAATGATCGTAACAAAAAGTCCAGAGCCAAATAAAGTAAATAACGTAAGTTATGTAACGCAAGTTATGTTATCTTTAGCAGTTTCGCGAGTTTTCTTTTCGCGAGTGGTTCTTTCTCTCTCCGCTGGTTACATTTTCTGTCCGTTGACTTAAATAGTTTTGTTACAAAGAAATTTCCGCTTCTCGTTTTAATAAAAAAAAAAGACGGTCGAAAAAGAAGAAAGTATAATATATTCGAATTACAAAACGGAAGGCCCGGATTGCGCGTTTTAAGTACGCGCTCATCAGAAACGCTTTCTCGAGAAATGTGATTTTATTTACTTAAGATTTATAACAGAAAAGTGTGTAAGACACTGTTTCATAAGAATTACCATGCCAATCTCTTTTGTATATGTTCGTCTGATATTTATCTTACCGCTTACCTCTTTAAATAAACCCGTTATTAAATCTTTTAAAATCTTCTTTATGCGCATCCACATTAAATAATCTTTATCTCTCGGTTTTCATTTATTTTTAATTCTTGTTTCTTGTGATATGAATATAAGAATATACCATTCCAGAAAATACACAGTTATTCAATATGGCTTCGATCAATCACAAATTTCAAATTATAAAAAGCAACAATGATAGCTACCAGTTATGTGCGTTACGTTAAGTTGTTTCGATCACTCTCTGTGACTTTTGAGATGCATTAGAAGAATCACCGAATGCGGATACTAAATTTTTGAAAATTCTAACAAAATTAATAATCACTCTTAAATTTCTATCCGTAGTCCGGAGATAATATCATTCGACAGAAGAAACAAAAAGTCTGTGATATCTAAAAAAAACTAAAAGATTTAATTTAATATCTGAAATATTAGAAACGCAGATATTTTAAATAATCGTTTTATATTTTTTATTTTAGTTTTGAAACAAGTATTGTTTTATTAATCTGCTGCTATTATGCGCAATGGTATTTATATTCTTATTATATTCTTATATCATGGTCTGTATTATAACCTCCATAAAGTACAATAATAATCAGTAAAATCAATTAATAATTCACAGATGCTAGAGATGGAATTATCCATCTCCCTGGCATTTTGATTTTGTACAGAACATCTGAGTTTCATCGTTAACATGACATTCGATCGTTGTGATTTATTATCTACAACGAAATTCGATGGCTCGTCACTGCGCCGCAGGAGACGTCGATTTCGCGCTCTCTGAACTGTTTCATCGTTCTCCAT